CCCTTGAGGGATACCCACAGGGAAAAGCCAATAATCTTGGACTCCTTGATGGTCAGAGGGAAAAGACTGATCTTTCCCAGGGACTTGCTCTTTGTAACCTTGACTCAGCCTCTTAGATGGAAGGCTATTCCTGGTCTTCATCTCTGCCTTCATGATCCCTGTGGTCTGGCCCCAGGCTTCCACCACAGTCCTGGGAAGCCATCATAGTCCCCCGAGGCCACTGCTGAAGCATCTGTGACCTTTCGAGCATAGGTCCCTGGAGCATCTGCCATTTGCTGTTTTCTCAGGAAAGACGGAAGCCACTTTTTCAAAAGGAATGTGCAGACTATATGTCTGTTAGTTTGTCTGTATTTCTATTTTAGCCTTTGTACTCTGCTTATTTTCAGAGGAGCATCTGGCATTGATTTAGACTTGCTGGCATGGTTTTCACGTCCTTTCACAGCTAATAATTTGCCCAACTTTGTAAAGACTTGAGGTGTTGGTCTTACATGGTAACAAGATAGGCATTGAAAGGAGATATGGAGGGGGCACAGAGTTGTAATCTCAGGCCTCAGGAGGCTGAGACAGGAGGACTGCTGAGAGTTTGAGGATAGCCTGGGTTGCCTAAGTGAATTCAAAGCCACTGTCGGCTACGTGAACAGAATCTAAATAAAAATATGGCTTCTGAGCTATACCATGGTGGCTACTTGGAATCCAAATGAGCTCATGTGTTTTTGAACTTGAACCTGTTTCATTCTTGGACCATCACCTGTTGCTCACAAAAGAGTGCCTCTGTCTGCTGGTTCCATATCCCTGCTTGGCTCTGAGAAAGTTTGTTATGATGGTATGCAAACAAAGGCCAGCTTCCAAAGGGACTAATACCGCCTGAGTTTCGATGTGTAAATGGAAAGTGGTAAAAGCATTATCCTGAGGACCAGGTGTGTGTGTGTGTGCGCGCGCGCACACACACACTTTGATTTTAAAATCTTTTAATTGTCTGATAGTAATTTAAAAGCTGTGAACTGTTCTGATAAAAGTCAGATTTTTCTCATCAGAAGATGTGGCAGCACCAGGCCCCTGGTTCAATGTGGTGCTAATAGCTAGCATGGCAGGGGAGATGCTTGCTTTGGGAGGAGGGTAGGGGTACAGGTCCTCATTCCCTCCCTACTGCCCCCTCCCTCTTCTGAAGGCCAAGTGGTAGCTGCTTCTGTTAGCTCATTGTCAGCCTGCCTTCCTGTCTCCACCAGTACCATGCTCTTATTTTCCCGTGCATGGGAGAGCACAAGGCCTACCCACAACTTCTGATCATTGTGTTGGTTGGTGGAGGATTTTCTGTTTACTTTCTGAACTCCTTTTTAGCTGAGGAGTTAGAAGTTGCTGGACAGATACGACTGAAGACTTCCATACAGGACAGGATAGAGTGATCTGACTGGAGCCTGGAGGATTCAGTCAAAGCAATTCTTTTGGAGTTCCCACAAATGAACGGGACCATGCAGTATTCACCCTGTGTCTGAGAAGAGTCCTTGTGCTGTATGGCATGGGAGAGCAGCCATGATGAAAAATCAATTCTGCCTTTCAGAGTAACCAGTGCAAGGAGATAGAGGGCTCCTAGCAGAGAGGTAATGGTGATTGAGCAATGGAAATGTGAAATTCTCTGATGGGAGCCCATATGATATGGGAATATGCTGAATGGCAATGCTGTGCCCTACATATGCAAATGTTATGTCAGTCGACACATAAATAAGCATTACCTTGGTCCTATAGCCAAGAATCACACCCAGCTTCACCACCCTGTTCTGCTTTCGTTAACTGCAAGTAAAGCCTCTGCAAAGTTAATGAGAAGTCAGTCCTTGCAGGGCAGATGGTCCTACGGCTGCCTCCCGATTGCTCAATTTTTTTGTTGGTGTGTGGGCCCACCCATGTGTGCTGTGAGTCTTCTTCTGTCTCTTTTGTGACCATAAAGGTTATCCTGAGCCACAGAGGGGTGGGATACAAAATACTCACTTGAGGAGTTTTTAGTAGTTTTATCTACCTAGAGTGAAGACAGCAGAAACAAAGCCCGTGTTGAAAGTTAAGCACTCAGCTCTCCCAATCATTTGCTAGAAGAAGAATGCCTGCCCGGTTACCACATAGACCAGGCAAAACAAACCCACTGCTTAGGCTTGTCAATAAAAAGACATCACAGATTCCTCCCGGCCCATTCATCAGAACCAGGGCAGACATGCTAGCACAAACTACAAAAGCGTGTTGTGAACTATGGTTTTGGTGGTGGTGATGGTGGTTCTATACCCTGGCTTTGAATCATAAATCGTATGACAATACCCCAGCCTCCCACTCTACCTCCACCCACTCTGCCCCTCTAGTACAATCTGCTTGATAATGAATTCTTGAGTTCACTTTATTTGGCATCCACTGGCACTCCCTTTGTAAGATCAGTTTGGGACAAAGGGAAGGGGCAAAATTAGAACCTCTAATTTCCCCTCTGCCATTAGCCGCTGCCCAGCCAAGGATATATTTTGCATAAATGAATAAAGCCATCAGAATGGTCTATTCAGGCATTCCGTTTATATAACTGTCTCTGTCTCCCTGTCTCTGTCTCTGTCTCTGTCTCTCTCTCTCTCTCTCTCTCTCTCTCTCCCTCTCTCTCTCTCTCTCTGTGTGTGTGTGTGTGTGTGTGTGTGTGTGTGTAATTATTTTTTTTTCCTGATGAAGGAAGAAAAAAAATGTTTTGTTTAAGGAGTTGGTTTTTTGTGTGTGTGTGTGTGTGTATGTGTGTGTGCTTGTTTGAGACAAGCTTTCTCTATGTAACCCCAACTGTCCTGGAACTTTCTATATAAACTAGGCTAGCCTCAAACTCACAGAGATCTGTCCCCCTCTGCCTCCTGAGTGCTAGAATTAAAGGATTGCACCACCACACCCAGCTTGATTGGTTTTCTGAGACAGGATCACATTCGTAGCTCAAACTAGCCTAGAGTTTGGAATTTGCAATCTTGCTGTCTCAGCCTCCCAAGTGCTAAGGTTACAGGAGTGCACTGCCATACCTTGTTCAGTGTAAGGTGTGAGTTTTGGGGATTAATTAGCCCACTTAAAAGCCTTAAGCAAAGTTTTTCTTTTTTTTTATTTTTTGGGGGGGTTTTCGAGACAGGGTTTCTCTGTGTAACTTTGGAGCCTATCCTGGCACTCACTCTGGAGACCAGGCTGGTCTCGAACTCACAGAGATCCGCCTGTCTCTGCCTCCCGAGTGTTGGGATTAAAGGTGTGCGCCACCAACGCCCTGCTTTCTTTTATGTTATTAAGAACAGAAACCAGTCAGGCGTTAGTGGTTAGTTAGTGGTTAGAAACCCTGTCTTGAAAAACCAAAAAGAAAAAAAGAAAAAAGAAAAAAAAAAGAACAGAAACCAAAATATCAGTTCATCAGCAGGATCAGGAATATAGGCTGCTTTTCAAAAAGAGCAAAGGGCGGTGGTGCATGCATTTAATTCCAGCACTTGGAGTCAGAGGCAAGAGAATCTCTGCGAGTTCGAAGCCAGCCTGGTCTACAGAGCGAATGCCAGGACAGACTCCAAAGCTACAGAGAAGCCCTGTCTTGAAAACAAAACAAAAAGAGTAACCAAAGGCAACACTTTCTGAGTCCACACTCAGACCAGGCCTGCTTCTTGCTCAGTGTGAACAGGAGGAATCTCACTTAATTAAACTGGAGCTGTAGGTAGGCATTTATTTGCTATCTCACAGAAGGAGGACCTGGTACTTACAGAGGCAAGGAACTGCTCCCTGGAGCAACTGCCAAAGTCCCCCCAGTATAGTATCCATCTGTGTGGCACCAGTCTGAACTAAGCCGTGTTTGTGGGCTTCAGTGGGATCCTGTTAGAGTCATAGGACCAGCTTTTGTCCCCCAGAGCACTCCACATTCTCTGTGAGCTGGCAGGCCACAAGGTGCACAGGTAAGCTAAGAGAATTTGGAGCCTTGTAACCAGACCTGCTCTTCCTGGTTTCCCGAGTCACAATGACTGATACTTCCAGGAATTTTACAATGGCCCAGAAGCATTTGTTCTTTCTTCAGAGTACAGGAAGGGCAAGAGTAGGCTGGGTGGGAAAGAGACTAGAGAATACCAGGAGTTTTAAAAAGTGACCACAAATACCATGGCATCCTGTTAAAAGAGACTTTGTGGCTAGGTGCTCCAATATTGCAAATAATACTGTGTTTGACAGTTCAAGACATCTGAAGCTCTATGTGAAACGGAAACCAATGGCTATCACATTTCGCCACAGTACGTCATCAGTCTAGACCCTCTGATGAGAAAGAAGTCACCTTCAAATAGTGTCCCGCGGTTTGATTCTTAGTTCCCTCTTCTCATAGCCTGGGTAGGCACAACACCTCGAAATGATTTAATCCGGCACAGTACACCACAGTCTCCCCCCCCCTCTGCTGACTATCTATTTAGGCATGTTGCAATGCCCCCTTTTCTTATCTCTGCCCCCCAAGGTAGAGATAACACAAAAGTGAAAAAAAAATGAACTAGAAAGAAGAGAAATAAACACCGAGAAGCTGTTGCCCTAAGGCTGGCCAGAAAACACAGCCACCTCTTCTGAAAGGTCAGGAGTGTACTCGAGAAGACAAGAGGGCAGTGTAGAAGGAGGTGGGTGGAGTTGATGCTTGAGAAAGTCGGTTCCAGGTCCCACCATTGGGTTCCAGAGCACAGCTTGCTCTTGCTTTTGGTGTGCAAACGAGGAGGCTTCCCGGAGGCTGGGCGGGGCTGGGCTCCTACTGGCGGGGATTTGGCAGCTAGGGGCTTCAGGCTTCGGATGCCAGCGTGCAGTGGGAAAGCGGCGCATCTCCAGCCTATTCCAAGGATGGACCGGACTTAGAAGCACTGGAGACCTGGGGAGCGCGAGGCGAAGAGACCTGCGGGAGAAGCTGGCGCTTCTGGGGGAACCAGGTCCGCCTCTCGCGCCTGGATTTTGAGAACTGTGATCGCTTCTCAGTCTCCGGAGGTAATTCTTCCCGCCCGGAACCGAAAATAATGAACCTATGGATGAGTTGCGTTTTCACTTTCCTTGCGCTCAGTGTGGTGATTTTTGTGCTCTTTTATCAAAGCCCGCTAAGCCCGTCCAGCTTCTTCCACCAGCCGCGCAACAGCTCCAGCGAAAAGTCGTCTGACATCGCCTGTGATTTCGGCTCGCAAAATCTTACCTACTTCAAGTCGGGGAACACATTGCCACATCCTTTGGGAAGAATCTCTTGCCAACTGTACCAGACCCAAAGCCACTATATCACCAGACGCCTGTCGGAAGAAGAGGCTGCCTTCCCCCTGGCCTACGTTATGGTTATCCACAAAGACTTCAACACCTTTGAAAGGCTCTTCAGGGCCATTTACATGCCCCAGAATGTCTACTGCGTGCACGTGGATGAAAAAGCCCCCGGGAAGTTTAAAGGGGCGGTGTGGCAGTTACTGCAGTGCTTCCCGAACGCTTTTCTGGCTTCTAAGTCTAAGAAGGTGGTCTATGGTGGCTTCTCCCGCCTCCAGGCTGACCTGAACTGCATGAAAGATCTGTTGGCCTCCCCGGTCCCCTGGAAATATGTCCTTAACACCTGCGGGCAGGACTTCCCCCTCAAAACCAACAAGGAAATAGTTCACCATCTGAAAAGATTTAAGGGGAAAAACATCACCCCAGGGGTGCTGCCTCCAGCGCACGCAGTTGCACGGACTAAATACGTCCACCGAGAATATGCGGGCAAAGACGGTATCCGTTTGAAAAGAACAAATACTTTGAAAAGTCCACCTCCACACCAGCTGACCATCTACTTTGGCACGGCCTACGTGGCCCTCACCAGGGAGTTTGTCAACTTTGTCATGACTGACAAAAGGGCCACTGATCTCTTAGAGTGGTCTAAAGATACCTACAGCCCTGATGAACATTTTTGGGTGACACTCAATAGGATTCCAGGTCAGTGCTAACTCGTCATTGACAATGTTTCTTTAAACTGCATATTTACTCTTTATTTTCAGCTTGCAAATGTGTGTCGGTGTAGAAGTCAGAACAACTTGTGGGAGTCATTCTGCTCGTCCACGGCATGGGTCCCAGGGATTGAATTTAGGCATCAGGCTGGGTGGCAAGTGCCTTTTCCTGCCCATCCATCTCAATGGCCCCATTGCTACTTTTTACTGGGTTCTAAGAACTTGTTCATTTAAGTTACTTGAAAAAGTGTTTAAATTCTTGAAAATGATTACTTTGGTTGCTTTTACTGACAGTTTTGTGCTGGCTCTGTGGCCTTAAAAATATCTGAGAAGCAGTGACCAAAGGGATACCTCAGGAACTGGCAAAACTGTGCTTGTACCTTCTACTGTGTGTTAGATGGGTGTTGGGGTCTCACCCCGTCTTTGGAATTAGCCCTGGTCATAGTCCGTGATAAGTACTGAAGTCTTTTGTTGTTTGTTTGTTTGTTTTTGTTTTTCGAGACAGGGTTTCTCTTGTGTTGCCCTGGCTATACTGGAACTTTCTCTGTAGACCAGACTGCCCTGGAACTCACAGAGATCTGCCTGCTTCTGCCACCACTGCCTGGCCAAGGACTCAAGTCTTAAGTGCTAGGAGACGGATTTTTAAGTAAGCACTCTAGAACACATGAGGTGAAATAGGCTGTGTTTCTGAGGGAAGTTTGAGGGAGCAAACTCCATGCAACATTGTGGGCGGGGCTGTTTCTAGTGGACCTCTTTGGATGTTCACAAGCTGTCACTCTTGATTTATCTGGTGCCTAAGTCTCAATTAGTCTCTGTTGAACAAACCCAGCCTGACTTTTTGTTGCCTAGAGGAGTGGGTAGCGGATTGAAGACGGCCACACGGGGAGTGCATGCTTGTGGCTGGAGCCGGTCCGAATAGAATTCTCAACTTTCAGGTTACAGTATTTTCTTATTAGCAATTCCTGTTTACAGCCTTGCGCTTTCACACAGGGGAAGTCTTTTTGATGGTTTATGGTAATTTGGAAATGGAGCCAAGGTATGCCAGGCAGCTGAAAGCCGGCAACAGTAACAAACTCTTCCTTTGAGTCAGACCTGGGCTGCTTTTCAAAACTGTTTCGCATAAGTTGTGTGAGCTGCAGTGGGAATGTCCTAGTACACTGGTTTCCAGTGTTGCACCAGGTGGCCTGTGGGTGTCAGTTCTAGGTAAGGATAGCCCTATACCTGCCATTTCTTGGAATAGTTCCTGACTTTGCGAGTGGCAGCCTTATCTCTGGCACACTTTTGAGAGCTGTTGGATACCTTCATACTGGAATCAAAGCAGTTAAACATATGTAGATCTACGATAATTCACCATCCCTAATTGAACTAAAAGGGTAGTTACAGAGTTCTCCTTAGAGGCAGAAAGTGGACAATCCTGGTGGCTAGGGACAGACATATAGGCTGTCCTATGAGAGTTTATTTCAGAGATAGCAGATTTTCAGGTCACAAGGATTATTCACAGGAAGGGGAGTGAACTAGCGTCATTACGGTGAAATAATAACTCTACCCATTTCTTTTTCTTGAATTTTTTTATTTTGTTACTATTTTGTTCGTGTTTATGATGTATGTATGTATGTATGTGGGCCCATGTGTAGAGAGGTCAGAAGACAGCTTGGTGCATTTCTTTCTAGGGACTGAACTCAGGTCATTATGCACCTATACTTGCTGAACTATCTTGTTCATCTGACCAATTTCTGTTTAAGACAGGTGTAAGTACTCTGCACAAGGCACCTGGTATTGTTTTTATTGGTATAGTTTGTACCAGATGTTAGGTTCACCTTTGTTACCTCCACCTGCAGATGAGTGGAGCCTGAGATTGGATGTGGGTCACACAGTCGGTCCCAGGTCAAGCTGGGATCTGGCCCTCAATTCAACTAGCCTGAAGTTTCAACTATTTCTGTTGCAGCAGGAAAAGAAGAAATAAGCATCTCTTCTTCCCTTCATATCAGAAAGAAATGTCTTACAGAGAGGACGAAGGATGGGGGAAAATGAGGAGGACTGTGGAAGTAAGCTGTCCTGGAAATTAGGTTAGCAAGGATGTGTGTGTGTGTGTGTGTGTGTGTGTGTGTGTGTGTGTTGGAAGGCAGCAAGCACACGAGGCCTTTTTGGTCCACTGTGTTAACGAAGTCATAAGGTATCTTTTTTGAAATTAGTTATCACCAACCCCTGCAGGCTGCAGTGCCAGTTTCCTCGTGTCCCCTGACGCAGGCTTTGGTCGGTCTCCTCTTCTCTAAGCCAGCCAGCAAACATGGGGAGTGTCCATCAATGAACATTCTCAGGGGCTGGGGGTGTGCCCAGCAACTGGGCCAAGACAGTGTCTGCAATTCCTGTGGCAATAAGAGAATAAACGATGTTTACCTCTTGCCACGCCCTCTCACTTTCTCCCCATCACTCAGTGTGCGCACCTGACTTCATGCCTCACTGGGTCCTCTTAATAGACTTTCAGGATCAAGAAACAAGAACAAGGTTGGCCAAATCCCTACTGGACTCTTATTCTCTGTGTCTCTTTCCCGGATGACCCACCCCTTACTTATATCCCAGCCCCTACAGTGGCTTCAGATGAAACTGTAATCAAACCAGTTGTGGTTCTGAAAGGAGATATCGGAAGCCCAGAAGTGGGTCTATGAGGAATTTCACATGAGCCAACTGATGCACGGATGTAAGCTGTAACTGGTCATTGTCATTATCGACACATTAAGCTGGCAGTGACACCACTATCTGTGCAATGAACACTCCTTAGGCGGAAGCATTCTTTTCTTTGTCTCTGTGCTCTGCATTTGTAGGTTGCTTTCGGTAATAAACATGGGGACCCCACTTTCTTTCTTTCTATTCTTATTTATTTATTTTTGAGACAGTTTTATGTAGTGCAGGCTGGCTTTAAACCTGTTTGGTGGCCTGATAGTGACCGTGGACTTTTGATTCTCCTCCTTCCACCTCAGAGGCTGGGATTGCAGGCTTCTGAAGCTATGCCCAATTTATGAGGTGCTGGGAATTGAACCCAGGGCCTGTGTATGTGAGGCAGGCACTCTGACCAACTGGGCTACATCCTCATTTGTAAAGGAGAAATAAAACAAAGTGTCTCAAGGACTTCACTCTCACACAGAGTGGAAAAGAAATATTTCCAAATGGTGAGCTGTTTTCCTTTATCTTTTCATTGTAATGTGTGCGAATGCCACCAGTGAGCTGGATTGACTCGACATTTTCAGACATCAACAGATTCTTTAGTTCTCCACTGTAACAAGCACTGTTCTATGTGCTGAGGACACAGCCAGAAGCAGACACAACTTCATACTATTAAGTTTGTGGAGTAGAGCAGATGAGCATGAAGTGTTTGTGTTTGTTTTCATTTGGAGCTAATTCCCAGCTCACCCCACCCACCCCGGGCCGCTGTGCCCCCCCAGCCCCTCAAATTGCTTTGCTTTTATGGGGTGGAGAGGCTGGAGTTTGTTGTTGGTTTGGATTTTGTTTGTTGTTATTTTCTTTGACTATCTGTTTCTATTTTTTAAATATTGAGCTGGAGAGATGCTCTTTTAGCAGTTGAATTCCCAGGCCTGAATGGTGGCTCACAACCATCTATAACTATAGTCTCATGGGCTCAGATGACTTCTTCTGGTGTGCAAATAGATGTGCATGTAGACAAAACATCCACATACATAAAATAAATGACTTTAAAAAAAATAGGAGGGACCAACGGTGTAGCTCGGGGATCAGAGTCCATGTTCATCATACACAATGCCCTCCCTGGGTTCAATTCTCAATGCAAAAACAAATTTGAAAAAATATTCAAAGGCTCAGAGTTGTGAAGATTATGTTCCGCCAGCCACACAATGCAAGAACTTGTTTCTTTGCTTTCCTACCAAAGGTAATGTATTATGTTTTTAAATAATACTACTAACAAAACACTGTGTAGGAAACACTACAAGTAAGTGTTTTATATGGGGACGTATTTTTAATTCAAAAGCCAATTACTTCTTTTTAAAGCATTTTAAAATCTAGGTCTCAAGAGCTCTGCGAGGCTTGGTGACTGGGAACTCTTGTCCCAGTGTGTGATGGTAGTAAATGTACAGTGTGGTCAGGCAGGCTTGTGAACACATTCCATCCCTGCTTAAAGCTTTGCCATGGCTTCCCATCCTCTTCAGGGCCATGACCTTGACAGTGGCACGGCTTCCATCACCCGAGCCTCACCCATCTCCCTACCCTCGTCTTTTTATAAAATGACCCGCACTTTATACTCGACCCTAACACTTCTGCCATTTACACCTTTATATTTAGTGTTGTTTTATGACAACCTGTTGTTAAGGATTCCCTTTCTGCCATTCTGAATCCAGCCTCCCTGTATGCTGTGTGACCGCAGTAAATGACATGTCTTCCTTGGCCTTTCCGGTACCCTCCTCCCAGACAGCTGGTGGCTCTTCTGTAGCCAAGGCTGCGTCTTCCAGCACCAAGTAACAGTCACCAGAAGTAAACATCCCACCCCCACCTCCTCAGCATTTGAGCCTCTAAGAGCAAGAAATGTGGCATGCATCTTTGTGTTCCGTGACTACTGCCCAGCGCACACTGCCACTTGTCACCACGCTCACAGAAAATACACAGAATGCTGGATAGTTATAGAGCCTGAGGAAGGTCAGAGAAGAGCAGAACAGTTAAATGTGGGAACGGCGTAAAAAACGTGTCCTGTGCCTGAGGTGTGGGAATAAATTTTGATCATGGAGAAATAAAGAGAACAGTAGGTAAAACACTTCGTGGTAATATGTTCCAGTTAGGCACACAAATGTTATCCATCAGTGAGGCAGGGGAAAGAGAGAGACGGGGTGGGGGAAGGTAGGGCACATTCAGTAAGCTCCAAACTTCTAGATGGAATGCTAATAAGACCAAGAGCTTTGTTAAGAATATGGTTCTTGGGGGCTGGAGAGATGGCTCGGTAGTTCAGAACACCTGCTGTTCTCCCAG